GAACCACCTTTATCCATACTTTGTACATGGCATACAGATGGAGATTGTGAAAGGTGACGTATTATACCTGATAGGTGCTTAATGTTTATTTAGTGAATGAAAAATGGAAGAACACGATGAAAAAAACAGGCAGACCTAACAAGTGTCTGAACCCATGTAGCTCAGTAAAACCGTCCCCTCCAGTTTTCCCTGAAGAACAGAAGCTGACGAACTTACTCAATATAAAGAAGCAAAAATCACTTATAACCAAGGCCCTGAAGAAAAATACTCTTTTACTTCTTGCTAAACATTCTTCTGACACACTCCTACAGACACACACATATACACCACACAGACGTGCATATTCAAAGCAGAATTGTATCATGCGGAATTTTATAACTGCTTTTCATGTCAGTTAAGTATAAATATATATTATTTGAATGAATCCATCACCTTTTATTTTACGGACACAACATGACTGGATGTAAAAAGATGCCTACATTGGACATTCACATTGCTTTCATTTTTTTGATGTGAATGCTGTGATTAAATTATTTTGTGTACTTTTACATACTACATTATTACTTGAAATAAGTTTCTATTGTATACGTCAAATTTAAGACTTTTTTAAAGTACACTGAAAATGTCCCTTCCAGAAAGTGAGTGAGTACCATCCCCCCAAACAGTACAGGAAAGAGGCTGCTTCTTCACATCCTTAATTTACACTGGGTACTGTGCTGTGTGTAAGATCTTAATTTAATGTGTTATAATCCAACAGTATTTCCTTTATGGTTTCTGAGTCATGGATCAATGTCTAGAAATAATTTCCCTGCTAAAAGAATCTAAAACTGTCTACAATTTCTTCTAATACTTTTTATGGTTTCATTTTTTTTTCATATAGAAATCAAATTTCTTCAGAAATTAATCTTGTTTTATGTCATTGGGTAAGCATCTTTTAATTTCCAAGTGGATACTCAGTTGCTTCAATACATTTAATAATCTACCTTTTTTCATCTTTATGACTTACATGATACACTAAATGAATATTCATATTTCAATCTGTTTCTGGAGACTGCACTTTTTCTATTGGTTTGTCTACTTTTCCTTCACAATGAAATTATTTTATTTATTATAACTTTATACTACACTTTGATATCTGGTGGATTAAAGTTCTCTTCTATTGCCAGATTGGAAGAAAATTTATATTTGTACAACACTGAATGATCATGATCTCATTCAGGGAAATAATTGGTCCCCTTTTTACTAAAGTTTTATTATGTTACCCTGTAAAGTTCTTTTTTTTTTCCAATGAAGACTTCATATTTCTTGCTGATTTTTTTCTAGATCATTTATAGTTTTGATTGTGATTGTAAAAGGTATTTTGATGTTATGATATTTAGCTGATCATTGTAATGACTGTATAGGTAGATAAAATTGATTTTCACGGTTATTTTCTAAATGAACATGTTCTATAAATCTTAATCTTTTCTTAGCTTCTAGTCAGTCATATAAAAGGCGAATAGTAGCTTTTCTCCCACATTTACTATTTATTCCTATTGTTTTTAAAATCTGATTGTACTGGCCATCATTTTCAGAAGAATTTAAAATAACATAAAATCACAAAGCATTCATGATTTTAAGAATCTAAAGCATGATAATAGAATTGTCATTTCAGTGCTGATACAAACGAAGATTGCAGTGGACTGAACCACATCACATATGTAAATCCAAGCTTTTATAATGATAATCAGAGAAACTATAGGAACAGCAATGGTGCATCTTCACTGGTCACAACAGAGATGCTAACCCACCACTCTGAACTGTGCATTTCAAGTATTTATCTTCCTTTCTTGTCATGAGCTGTTTAACCTAAGCAAATGGTTGATATAAATTGTTTTTAATAATTCCACTTAATATATGCCAAAGAATGATAGAAAATCACCATTTTGCAATGCCCAATGAGATAAAGAACCTAAGAAACAATTATGAATGCATGCTAAAATTTTTAGGTAAAATGTTGACATAAAATCTTATTTTGGAGGGAATCAAGTTACTAGGACGTGAACCTACTGATCAATTTCAGCACCACAGTGAGGGAGACAACCAGATATCATGTGTCACATTAAGTACTCTTGCCTTAAAAACAAACAGATGATAGCCAAAACAAACAAACAAACAAACACCACAACTGTCTGGATCTAATCTAATCTAACTTAAAACCTAACACCCAGTTTACAGAAAATAGGAAAAATAGAGGAATAAAATAAATAACAAAATGAAGAAGCCAAACCTAGAACGCTGTGCGCCCAAAAGGACAAATAAGTTGGCTTCTTCAACAATCAGTGGCATGAAAGAAAAAGAGGTCTGTTACACAATACAGCTGACCCTTGAACCACACAGGCTGAACCACGCAGGTCCACTAATCCATGGATATCGTTCAGTAGTAAATATTACAGTACTACATGGTCCATGGCTGGTTGAATCTGCGGACATGGAGGAACCACAGACAGAGAAGGCTGACTATGAGTTGTAGGCAGATTAGCACCCGCTCTGTTCAAGGTTCAACTGTAAAAGAAATTTAACAGACATACAACCAAACACAGTACAGATCCCAATTCCAAGCCTATTATAAATAGACATCTTGGAGACAATTAAGGACATCGAATACTGACTTGGTATTAAATGCTACTAAGAAATAACTTTAATTCTATTAGCTGTAATAATAGCATCTTAGTAAAGCAAAAAAAATAAAATAATACCTAACCAGTAACAAACAACCAAAGTTCTTGTCAGGGAGGCATACTGAGATATTTACGGGTTAAATGTCAGCATAGTTGAGCTTTGCTTTAAAATAACTCAGGTTACAAAAAAAAGTGAAGCATATAAAAGAGTGGTAACATATTGGTAATTGTTGGAACTAGGTAGGAGGTAGACTGAGGTTCATGGTACTAGTCTCTCTCATTTTGTGGTGCGTGTGGTGAGTGACAGATAAAAAAGAAAGCAGGTAAGAAGTAAGAGGCAGTAAAAAATAGGTGAGGATCAATGATGATTCTGAGTAAGAGCAGACAGAGACCGTTAATATAGGAAGCACACAGCTAAGAATGACAAAGTACAAGCCAGGTTCAGAAAAAGTGAGACAGGGAATGTCTGAGAATTTAGAACTGAGCAGAGAGGGGAGAAGGGGAGGAGCCGAAGGGAGCGAGAATGCTGAAATAAGGCGCCTACAAGGGCACTTGCTATCTGGGTCACACATGTTCAAGAACTAGCACAAAAAATAAATTTTTTATGTCTAGATTATTTCTCTTTGGTGAACCAACTTCTCCTACACTGTTGTGTTATGTAAAATTTCCAGATAAGGACAAAGACTCTGACCTCCATCTCACGGCCATTTGCATTATCTTTGGCCGTGTTTATTTATAAACTGTTCTTTTAAAAAAAGGACTGCTGCAATTTAAGAAACTTTTCAAAGATATCTTTACTCTCACTTTATAAATATGAAAACAGAAAAAAAAAACCCCACTCTGAATTTTACATTATCCTAGGATGTACAGAGATGGCAACCCAATGAAGACCTGTCTCGTCACATTCAATAGAGGAACTGCAGAAGCAATTTGTTACAAGCAGATGGATAGTTGAACACTGAAAAGGATGATAAACTAGAACAAAATTAGATATTGAAATCAATTTCTTTTAGGCTTACCATGGAACTTCAGATTTACACAAACAATTGTATTTGAAGAAGTCGGAAAAAAAAATGCCGTACTAAGATGGGTGCCCGTGAAAACAGAACTTTACACATGCTATAGCCTTTATAACCACCACTTACTTGGTTGGTCCAAATATTTATAGTTCATTGTTATGACTGCCAAAACTGGCAACCACAAGGATTGTTGTCTCAATTAGGACAGTAAACAGATTGTCTCTTTTTTTAATGAAAAAATCTAAAATGTAATACTTCACAGTTTAACATGCTTATTCATCTAAACGAGCTAAAAAATAATGGTGCGACATCTGTTCGAGAGGCATTGGTACCTCAGATTTTGGCTGCCTCCCCACCAATTTGGTTGTTTGAAAAAAATGAAGAATAGGAGGGGGAACTGTCATCAAAAAATCTTCTGGCATGCAAAGTATCTTATTTTTCTTGAAATAAGGATCTCATGTCTGTTGCTAGGGATAAAAAAAAAAGTCGTTTAACCAGGAGGTACAATGCTGAATACGACAGCAGTTTAATTGTTTTATATACATTTACTGATCCACTACGGATACTTCCACCCTGCTATAGTTCTTTAAGTGACTTTCTCAGTCCCCTCGATACTTAACCTTTGCAGCTAAAACCTGTACAAAATGGTAAAATGTTTCTGTAGGTACTGAATTCATCTGCCAGAGTTTTTCACTAAGGGTTGCACCGATTTTAGAAATAGTGTCAATGGAACAAAAATCTAGCAAACATTTTATCCAGGCTGCACTGGATCAAACTGTAATAAAAGAAGGCAGTGCTGCCAAGGGAGAAGAGGTAAGACCTTCCCCATAGAAGCCTCAGGTAAGTGTGAGGAACCCGAACTGCTGGTGAGGAGAGCGTAACGACTTACCTTAGATGGTGTCTGGCTCAGCAAACTTATGTTATGGATGAAATGCATTAAACCTTAAAATTCAAGTTTACATTTCTAGAGATGTATTTCTGAAGCTTATCAAGAGCATAACTCGCTCTACTGAATTGTCACTGACTATATAATTTTAGAATCTCGAAAACACAGCGCTTTAGCTCGCACATAAATATAAATGTTATCATGAACATTTAGTTTTATTTGCAATGGGGGTGAAGATCTGTACTAAGTTAAATTAAAAACAATGAGTATGGTTTTTAACAATACTGAGATAAAAACAGCATATCTGACTTCCTAGCAAAGAGCAACGTTTCTGTTCTACCGCAAATTCAATGCTAGTCGTCCTGAGGAGAACCAGGATGAAACGTGTAAATGTCCCAGTGCAACAAAAGACCATGAAGGCTAAAGGCTAAGAGCTGACCGATATTGTGATATTTAAGTTTTATTTATTACACGCAAACAATTTTTGATCATCTACTACATGCAAAAACTGTGCCAGATTCCAAGAGGACGAAAAAAGATTAACTTAAATTATAACATGCATTTATTAAATATGTGCAGATCACTCTTGTTGGAATTACAGAAATGAACAAGAACATATTCTCAGGATCTCACAGTCATCGGTTGGGGTGGGAACACTCCCACCTTTATGAAAAATTGAAAAGATTAGAAAATCTTCAAGTATTTTGCCAGCTTAAAACAACAACAAACCCCGTACCGATACTAAGATAGTCTTCTAGTTCATTTGTGTTAAAAGAAATTCTAGACGAGGTCTTGTTTTTGCAACGTCTCCTCTCCAATGAATTTATATATTTTGCATGCAAGATTAGAACCAGTAACCCTCCAAGCTTCATTCACAGTGTTCCGTAGGCTGTATGTTAAGTCAGCTGCATTTCTACTCTGCAGAAATTTATTCTGCAGAGAAGAGTATGTTAACAGCTAGATTCTAACATTCTGAAAAGTCATTATAATTGTTTCTGGTTTTGTCTTCTGAATTATTTTCAGTGGCAAATTATTGGAGGGGGAAAACCCACGCCTAAACTTGGTGTCTGGTGCCAGTCTCAGATTTACACTCGCTAGCCAAAAGTGTAGTCCCCTGAAACCAAAGGCCGGATATCACCTCTTTGTCTTCAAAGATTGAAACCAGATTTCAACCTGGGGTTTCTCTACAGAGGACTAGCTGATTCCCAGTTAATGTGAGTTTGAAAAATTTGCATGTCACAAAAATAGTGTTTTGTAAACATATATTGTTTCAAATGACGTCCTATTTATTAAAATCAGAGTTTAGACTTTGGGACTTGCCACAAGTCAGTCAGTCACACACACGGACTGGCCACAGACTCAGAGGGTCAGTAAAGCTAGGGGGTGAATTGCCTCGAATTATACAGTGTTTAGGCTAATATCCATTACTATCAGAAACAACATTTTTTCCCCAAAAGAGTATCTGAAGAATAGCATAGGATGGTAGAGCTTTTTTCCCAGGGTTATGAATTTTCAAATATTTCTAAGAGTGTAATCATCTATTTTAAATACCGTAAATCCTGTTATATCTCACTTGGGTAGGTATCTAATAAACAATTATTACATCTCCTCGCATTTAAATTACCACTGAAATTAGAAATAATCTTTATTTAACATGAGTGTATTTAACACCATATGGGAGGGGAAATAGCTAAATGAAAATTGTTCACGTCAATGTGATCAGAGTAGGGGAAAGCAGTATTTCTTGACATGTGGCGTGTCACTCAGGGAAGTAAAAGACCCATCATATCCAAAATGCCAGCTTGGATATTCCCTTGCCACCCACTTCACGAACAGCCTTACCACATGGCATTAAATGCTGCAACCTTTCCTAAAAATGCCACTTGGATGGGCCCGCTGTGGTAAGTGTATAGGAACGCTTGGTCTGTCTCCTGAGTTTGTGATTTCAAGGGGGAGAATCCAGTAAATAGCATTGGCTGAATTTTTGTCCTCAGATGTTTGGCATAAAGGATCTGTGAGGACACTGGGACTTTTGGCTGCTTTCACACTGATGAAATAAATTATGCTGCTTGAAAAAATTCTACAGAACATAACGCTACACAGACATGTTCAGCTATCTGCAAAAGTCTCAAAAACTTCCTCTCTTGGTGAGAATGGAAACAATTGTAATGTTTTATTTACTCTTTCTAAATACAATTCATTTACTGTAAAATACCTTATGCACATGTTTCAAAATACTCATTTTCTCTACATCTTTTTATAAGGCAGGAACTAACAACTCTGTTGTGGACACGTGTTTTTCCATTTTCTAAGCATCATGTATTCATGTGTCGTAAAAATAGTTTCAAATTCCATTACCGGTAAAAAAACAATTGAATACACTGGTTGTTACACGCCAACAAATGTAAAATATCTGGAAAATTTTATAAACCAAGAACTACATATGCAAGTAATACAGATACATATTTTCTTCTATTACTCACTTTCCATGAAAGAGTTCTGACTGATTTAACTCTCAAGAGACAAGATTTTGTAAAGCAAGTTCGTGTTGTTCAGACGTAAGACAACCCAATAAAACGATGCCGAGTTGGGTAGGACTTCTGCTGTTACTGTTGTGTGAAAAAGACTGCACAATTAAATGACAGATTGTTACACATCTCCCGAACAAGAGGGGCAAACTGATTCTGCAAGCAGCCAGAACGACATAATTAAAATAGAACTCCAAGTTTATATTAATAGAGTAATAAGTTAATTAAAATCAAGATCAACTGAACTTTCTATTTACAACCAGTTCAGACAGCCCAAGAGGAAAGGAACTCTGTTTTAGAGACATGTGTGACTCTTTGAGCTTCTGTCATCCAGGTGCCATTTCTGATGGAGCACATGTGCACTGAACAGTTGGCAGGGAAGGAAAAAGATTACTGGAGATGTATGTGCAGATAGTCACTCTAATGATATAAAATACGTCTGGAAAGAAAGCAGGGCTTCTTTGTAAGATGAAAAATTTCCCATGACTTCTCATTCCTTTTAGGCTTTGAATGTGGCTGGAGAATGCTTCTGTAAATGAGGATACATACTTTTACTTATGCTGTACATGGAGCAAAAAGAGATTTAGTCATCTGTAAGGGATGGAGTTATACACATAAATTGGCTGAGACATCCGAAGAATTTAGGATCTGTTTTCCATTTTATCTAAATGCACCATGAATAGGTTGCCTGTCAAAGTAGAAAGATTTACAGAAGTATCCGGTAGCATACGTTATACTACACTGCTAGGTAAGGTTCTTTTCTTGATATCTTATGCAACTACTGAAGAAGATATTTCTGCAAACTGAAAGGACCAGCAGAAAAAAATTCAAGATGTTTCTGTTTCAGTACATCAGAAAGTACTGGTCCCAAGAGGTGCTTTTATAAAATTATTTCCTTCTCGTTCATTGATTGCTGCTCAACTAATCTTCATCTGGTTCCAGATCGGGGTTGACATCTGTGGACAGTCTGAGATAAAAGAAAGCATAGAAAGCCAGTAGGAGGGCCAGTATGGCTGCAAGGACAAGACCAACTTCCTGAGGAAAGAAAAAAAAAGTAGATTTGCAATTCACGAAATGAGATTGTTTAACGTTATCAGCTCCGTGAGACAAAATGACCCAATAAAGAATGAACAATTACATTCTTTTGAACACTTCTGTCATTGAGTAAAGGAACTTATTTTGTACCTTGCAATACCCACTATGAAATGGCAAGGACATCAGTGGGTGATGGTTTGTGTTCGTCCAATAGTAAATGTAACACTTACAACTGTCATATATCTTCATAGTTTGGATATCACAATGGTGGGTGCAAGCAATGTCGTTTGTGCCTCCACAGTGTATCTTTCTCTATTTGAGTATGTTTCACTTTATTTCTTGCTTCAAAACATCTATTATCAGTATAGCATTCGGATTCAGCTTTTTCAAACAATTATCATTCCTTTTCCATAAGGAAGAAGCTATTATAACCAGCTTCTAGATTATGTCTCTGAAAACGTCTTTGTTAAATTATTTTTTATTGAAACTTATTTTTAACTTCTAAATTCTATAGTTTATGATGTGGCAGAACAAAACAGGGTAAGTACTCTGAGCTCATGAAGCATGATCCAGGATAATGCCCACAACTGTCAAGGACGGTCCCGGCTACTTCGTTTGGTGATTCGATGTGGATTGTACTAAGCAATTATATTGAAATAACAGCCAAAAAGTTTGCCACACACACAATGACAAAAATCATACTATGTTTCAAAAAGTCTATAAACTTTTTTATACATATACATACCATGAGGGAACTTTCTCAATATTAACCTATCATTTGGCTAAATAGAAAACAGAACAAATAATGCCAGTACAGTATCATACGAGGCCAAAATAGTCCCTCCTAATTTTCACTCCTGTATCACGTCCTTTCCTGACATTACTTTATGGAGGAGCAATTTATTTGCATTACAGAAATGTATTTTACATTTCATAAGAGTGCAAAGTTAATAATTCAATGTATGCCACTTAATAAACTTTAAAAACATTCAAATGGATTTGGTTTATAATCAACACGTTTTTTTTTCACCTGAACGTTGAAATTACAAATGGACACAGATTTTTAGCTTCATAATGGCATTTTTTTTCAGATTTCCAAACTATGAAAATAAATATTAATAAAAGCTATGGGGTTGAAAGGCTTGGTGTCAACGATCTTTGTAAGATGTGATTTTTCAATCTAATATATCAATATAATGTCAAATCAAAGTGACTTTTTCTCTGTTGCAGTTGGAATACTTTGGCATCTCAAAAGGGCATGGCAGCATCAGACAGGTTTCATTTATTTTCTTGTATCCACAGCTGTGCTCCCAGACCCATCTGGTTAGACAGCTACTAATTTTAAGAGGATGTAATAAACAAGTGACACACAACTGCAAACCCCATCTGTTCTGTACAGTGGACAACAGAATGCTCGGCAGCAGTCACCATTCACATAAGCTTAACGCAAGAATAAAGTTTGTGCTCTCGATTGGCGACCGTGATTCTCATCTCATGGATAATCACCTCTAATTGCTGCTTTTCACTCCTTCTTATCCTTTCAGACAATTCTGTATCATCTTCATTGTGTATTTTCAGAATATCCAGAGGCAGGAAAAAAGGGTTTGGGGGTAGAAAGCAGAGAACATTCACAGAATACAACTTCAGAGGATCCGTTAATTCAGTTAAGTCTATTCAATATACTACGGTGTGGGGGTGGGGCTTAAGAAGTATTGGATGAGGAGGTACAGCGAAACTTTTTTTTTTCCCCAAAATGTCCCTATTCTGTTAGGGGGATAAGCATTGTGAGGACCGCATGTTTGGAGCGTTTGAAAAATGGTAAAATTTGAAAATACTGCTTTCAGAATGCTGGTCACACTAACCATAACTTAGAGACCCACAGGCATTTAGGATTGCCCCACCCTCGGCCATTTTTAGTTTTAGATCAGATATAACAAAAAGAACAAAAATAATGGTTCTAGCTGGCTCACCCCAAGGGGTTGTTAGCAGGATCTGGCTGACATCTGAATATTTGATTTATGTAAGAGAAAATTCAAATTTTTGATCCTTATTCTTTTATTATACTTTTCAAATAAACCTAAATAAACTAATGAATTTGTAATCAACTAATAAAAAATAGATTATCTTTTTCCCTCTAAATGCTAGGAAACACAGCTATTGCATTCTAAAAAATGTCTAGTGACTCTGCAATTTTGAAAAATAACAGCAAATATTAGTGTGCAAATATTTTTTTAGGTGGTACTCATTTCATTATGGGGTCATAAATTATGACATTTTGTTTATATTGGTAAGAGACGGGAACTAATAGAAATTAATTCTACATTTTGAAGCAGCCATATCTTATTCTGAATCATTACTGTTCCCTGAAGTCATTTTCTATCACTAAACATACATTTATTAAAAAAAAAAGGCCAGAAGCCCGTATTGTATACATTTTATAACTCCAGTCTATTATTTCTCAATCAACACTGTAGATTTTATATGGTAATGAAATCTGGAAGTAATTTCTTTTTTTTTTTCAATATATGAGGTTTTTTTTCATTTTTTTATTTTATTTTTTATTGAAGTATAGTTGATTTACAATGTTATTTTCAGGTGTACAGCAAAGCAATTTAGTTACACATATACATAAGTATGTATATTTTCTTTTCAGATGGTTTTCCATTATATGTTGCTACAAGAAACTGAATACAGTTCCCTGTGTTATACAGTATGCCCTCGTTGTTTATCTATTTTTTATATAATAATGTGTAACTGTTAATCCCAACGGAAGTGATTTCTTGTATAAATGCCTCCAAGACTATTATGTCTTATTCATCTTTCTTTTCACAGGTTCTACAATATTGTAATACTCACAGCAATTTCTAAATAAATAATGAAGGACTGAGTCAGATTTCTAAAATCTATATACAAGGTATATGAAAACTATGTAATGTTTTCAAAACTTTACAGCAATAACACGCATAATACTAACGCCACAGCAAAACTAAGCACATTGTGCAATATGTAATAGAGTCACACAGTGCAGACTTAGATTGAAGTTTGATTGGATCTTAAGGCCAATGACAAACATCCAAGGAAAATTTTATTCATGCACACCAATAATAGCTAATTCAAGGAAATGTTTTCTCAACGAGCTAACCATCCGTAAAGGACTTCTATGTCCTAGGTTCAGCATTAAGTGTTCTCATAGTATTATTAAACTCGCCTGACTCGAGTTAATGGCACAAAATCCACTTCACAAATGCACCAGCTCAGACTCAGCTGGATCATGGTAACAGGAAGAGGAAAGAGGTGTGTGACTCTAGGCCTCTTTATTTCATGTTGTTGGATCATTGCTGTTATTTTTCTATTCCACTCAGCTGTTCATATTTTTTGTAAATTATTTTAGGATTATAACTATTATTCATTTGAAAAAAATTAGTGATAAAGTAGTATAATATAGTGGTCATCTTGTATTAACCAGGTAAGAGTCAAACATGTTTGATGCTCATTAGTCGTTAGTTGCTTCTCTGACATTATCAATACGGATAAAATCACTCACCGGGGAAATTAAATAGCATTAAATGGCAATTGCCGAAAGAAACTTTGTTATTTAAAATCCTCTGCGAAAATGACAAGGCAATCAAAGTCTGACAGGGCAAACTAATTAGTATGCCAGATTTGAAATGTAAAACAGCTCCATGGTTCTGATTTTTAAAAGTTTCATATCATTTTAATGGGCTCTGCACATAAATTTTCAAGCAAAGTAAACAGTGTATAAAGTTAAGGTTTTTGTCCTTCACAGGTTTACAAATCAAAATGATATGCTAGCTTAGTAAAAAGAAGCTATGTTTTGATGTCAGAAACTGTTGTACATACTTTAAATCATAAATTTTTTCTCATAAAAGATACACAAATTCTACATTATTTTTAAAAAGACACTAGATAACTGCACTGTAAAGTAGACTTATACTAGGAATATAGTTATTTCCTCCAATTAAAACAATAGGAAAAATTATAAGATCAAAGTAAAACAGGATGTATATAGGAAAGTGGTATGTATCAGTCAATGAATGGCTGCACTGTTTTTCAAATTCTGATGTATAGCTGCTCATACTATGCCACAAAGTGGAGTGTGCTACCCCAATATTTTTCTAAAAACAAAACAACACCAAAGTACTGTATCATGAAAGATAAAAGTAAGTGACATATTGCTTTCCTGGAAAATGACAGACAAAGCTCTCACTACGAGAGACAATCATCAGGTAGTTAATTGCAAAATAAAAAACGAAGCACTGGTTTTAGAAAGTTCATGCCACGGAAATCATTTTAAAGATGAATGAAATTTCATATGAAATTAGAAGACTTCAAAAGATTAATCATCTCTCTTTTAAACAAAAAGGCAATTCACTTTTTTTTTCCCATTAAAAACTGACACACAGCTCTAAGTGAGGAGATGGTGTTGTGAAAACATACTGTATCACCCAGTAATGCTTGATCAAAATCAGCAATCAGAAGTGAAAAGAAGGCAGTGTTTCGTGATCATAATAGCAAATTCTGGAAGACAACCAAATACATCATCTGGCAGTTCAACAGCTGTTACAGCTTGGTAGTAATACCTTGGCATTTGCTGTAAGCTATAACTTAGAAAAATTGATTTTTCATCTGCCAGATAAAAAACCAAAATCTCCTTTTAACATTTTAATATTTAAAATAAAACATATCGACTAGTCACTTTAATTTTACACATTTGACAGTAGAGCCATTAAATTAATTTTTCTATTTATAGTTCAATTTGACTCTAAATACAGGGCAAAGAGTTGACATGGGTAATAATGTCAACGTAATTCTGTTGAACTTCATTGTTCCAGCACATTGGATTAATATCTGCTAACACCATTTCAGTTGCTTTTATCCCTCTTAAGCAGTTGAAATACTGGTTTTCTAAAAGAACAAGTTTGGGAACATCATTAGAATTTTATCACAGAGGGTACTGACAACAATAATAAGACACAGGTAAAATTACCTCTATTGATGATCTAAGTGTACATAATTATAACTAAAATTTAAACAACCATAAAAATCAAACTTATTGCAAGTGAGAGAAGTTTTTTGATCCAGGCCACATATATCACTAAAATGTATGCAAGATAAATACAGTAGCTAGAGAAAAAATAAATTGAAACTTTCAGTGCAATTGGTTCTCCTTATGTGACACTGAGTCCTATTCTTAGAACTGATAAAATCTTAGGCTAGGAAGGATGTTTCTCATTAAGTAAATTCTTTATTTAAAAAAAAACCTTTAATTCTGGCATTTGACTTAGATTTTGAAATGTCATAAAACATTTAGAATTCAACATTTATGCAGTTCAGTTTTAGAAAATGAAACGGCACGCATACATCAAATTGTCAAGTTACCAAACACGGGTACCTTTATGCCTAGCGCTGTTTTCTTGGCTTCTGCTTTTAATTTGGTTGCTCGTAAAATGGGTTTGGTTTTTTTATAATCCTGTTTACCTAGAAAGAAATAATTTCAGACAATGAGCTATAATTCAAGTTTAACAGCCATCTGAAATGTCAAAGAACATTTAAATAGAGTAAAACTGGGACACAAAGTTGCCAAGTAATTCCCAGTTATGGAAACTATAAACTTGTCACCCTAAGGTCAACTTTTCCTCCTTTCTTACTTTTCCAGGAAGAAGATTTGACAGACACCCTTGATTTGCTGTGTGGTTAAAATCAAAAAAGATTAAAAAAAATCATTCTAGAGAATAAGATGTTTAAAGTAAAGAGAGTAAACCTTTTAAAAGCATTTGGGGAAAAATGAGGAAATAAATGAGTATACGTAAGATCCCATTATGTAGGTAAAGTTAACTTTGTCTTCACAATTGAAGAATAAACAGTACATTAGAGATGTATTTTATTCTGATATATTAAGCAGTCAGTAATTGGAGAAATATCCTCAGGTTTTCTCTAAGTGAGAAACTAGAGAAGGATCTGTAAATAATTAACTTTCAGTTGGTGAATTCATTAGAAAAAAAATGTGTTTAACTTTTGTTTACTCTCAACAGAGGAGAGACTAAACATGGCTAGATAAATGATAGCTACAGTTAGATATTATTTCAGTCTTCTCTACCACATTTCCCAACCCCAAATGAACAAAACTGAGTTAGTGTCACCAAATTTGCTGTTTTGTGTGTACCATCTGGTGACCCCACTAATGACTAACAAAAGAGCTATTACACAGCCTGTGAGGAAAAGCTTTAACACCACCGCCACCAACAAAAATATTGACTAGAATAATACACTTGCTTGTTGTTGCTAATCAAACTCTTAGCTAAGAATTGGGTCAAATGAGTCTCAAATGTAATATATCATTCTGAGTGGGAGTAAACACTTGACTACATACTCTAGTTAGCTATTTTATATTCTTATTTGGCCTTGTTTCCAACTTGACTCCCTTTCTTTTCAATCACCAGTTCCTTTCCAAAACTTGCCCCTAAATTTTCTTTGTCTAACTAATACAACTTCTACCTCCAACGTCCACATCTTCCTCCCACTGAAGTCAATCTGAAAGCAGTTTTTCTAAAGTAGAATCATCAAAATTTAATGTGCGATATATTTCTTAATGTGTTTGCTAATGATTCAAAAGTACCTTTAAAATTCCGTATAGATTTTTAGAATTAGAAATGGCAGGGAGAAGTGAGATAAATGGATGGGAGTAATGAAGAAATGTGATATTTGTGTTCATTAGACACATAAAAGTGTGTGTTTGGCTGAAGAGCTATGTAGTTTTTTTGAAAGAGAGAGTGTACACTGTTCCCTTAACTGCAACTGGAGAGCAGTCACTCAGGATCCATGAGCTTGCAGAAGCTTAATAAATATTTTTTGATGCTAGGGTTTAATGATCCAGAAATGAGCCAATTGTAAAAAAAAAAAAAGTATATCAAACGATCTAAATTTAAATTATGGAATGAAAAAAATACAGAAAAAATACTCTAGTCCATTTTAAATCAGCAACATTTAATTTTGTTGGAAAAAAACCTGAAGTGTTCACTCTGATTTCACATCTCAACCATCAAACTATTCACGTCATTATTCCTGCTGAGACATAAACAGCTCTGAACAATGACACTGGTGACACATCAAATGTCCCCACTCAGGGTTACAAAGCAAGTTTCTAATGAGAATCTAAAGAGATATTTCAAGATTATGGATTTCAGGCCAAGGAGTCATGCCCTGTGTTATCTTATATATGCCCTAAAATAAACTCCGGGTGCAACAGGAACAAAATGAACAAAAAAGGATTATGGTAACCCATCTGCTTTTCATACACACGTGCAATATTCTGGGTGATGTGGCTGTCATAAAAAGGATTCAAATCCACCTCAAAGAGTCAATGTTGAAGTGAGACTTTATCGCTCTCCTTCACTTGCCATTGGTTAAATAAAGTGTTCTACTTCAACTCCTATAATCTCTTTAAAGAATAATACTTCTAGATTTATATTAAAATTGATGTGAATATTTGAAGCTGTATTTATAATAAATAGATGGTTTTAAAAATTATTGTACACCTGGTACTTCTGCAAATAATGCATCTGTCATTAATTTAGCATTCTCCTTGCTGGCTATGCTATCCAAGTATATATTGCAAAATGTGGTTTCAGTCTACTAAGTGAAAACGTTTACAGGCGCATCTGTTAAGTTCTTTATAACTAAAACCAGATCTTTCCATTATACCCAAAGCCATTTTTAACATTTTAATTTCTTATGACTTCAAGAAAAATACCTATGCCCACATGATTGTAAAAAAAGTATAAAATAAGAAGCTCCTGCTGGCTGAGTACTTACATCTAAAAAAATACATTTATATAATCTAGATTTTATTTGTAGACAGTTTCTTAACTACAAGTGGATTTGATTTTGGTTATATCAGTAATGCAATAACCAAGGTAGCTGTTTAGCAACTGCTCATTAAGTTTTATATGAGAGAAATTCTCCTGGATAATTCAAGCCTATGAAGCCAACCTTCATCATCTAGTTTCTCTCCTCTCAGTTACACCATTCACCACATTTCTGTATTTTCATTTCCTGTGACACAGTTTAGGCAATGAAAGCTTTCTCTCCCTTCTTCACACTTTTTGATGGACTGATTCATGCTTCCTCCCTCCAATAAAGTCCTATAATATTATTTTATTATATTTTATTTTAAAATTATCTTATAGTGAAATTGACATTTTTTTCTTTTAGCATACAGTTTAACTATAGTGCTTATGTACAGATTCATGTAACTACTATTATAACCAGGATACAGAAAAGCTGTGTCATTCCCAAAATTCCTTGTGCTATCCTTCTGTACCCACCTCCCTCCCATCCATAATTCCTGGCAACCACTGATCTATTTGTCCATTTCTATAGCTTTGTCTTTTCAATAATTTGGCAATAATGTGACAAGAGCTTCTTTTATTCAGCATGAGGCATTTAAACTCACCTATTTCACCTGAGCCGTATTGTATCAGCAGTTCACTCTTCTTTACTGCTGATTAGTATTCCATTAGATGAAGGTATCAGAGTTTATTCATTCACTCATTGAAGTACATCTGCGTTATGGCCAGTGTTTGGCAAGTCTGACAAGAGCTACTACAAACACAGGTGTACAGGTTTTTATGTGAACATAAGTTTTCACTTCTCAGGGTAGGATTGCTGAGTCCTATGGTAAGTGTATATTTAAACTTTGTAAGAAATCGGCAAACCACTTTCCAGAGTGGCTATACCATTTTGCATTCCCACCAGCAGTGAATGAGCGTTCTGGTAGCCTTGCATCATCACCAGCACTTGGTGTTATTTTATCAAGGCTGTCTAACTTTTTAGTGTACAATTGTTTACAGCATTCCCTATAATCCATTCTATATGTGTGAGGCTGATAGTAGTTAGGTTATGGATATGAAGTCTTTCTTCTTTATTAATATAGTTATTAACAGGCATACATTTCCATTTCTTCATATTTACCTGTACAGTTACTTTTACTGGTGTTAAATTATTATTTTTGTTTGTAGATTCAAGTTACTGCCTGTGTACTTTCATTTCAGCCTGCAGGACTTCTTGTAGTGTTTTTTGTAGGGCAGATGTACTGTTGAAAAATTATTTGATTTTGTTTATCCAAGAACATCTTAATTCCTCCCTTTTTTTGAAGGATAGTTGTGCTGGGTATAGAATTCTTGGCTGACAGTGTTTTGCTTTCAGTACGTCCTATGTGATGAGTTACTTTCCACTTGCTACTTTCAAGATTCACTCTTTATGTTTGACTTTCAACAGTTTGACTATGATGTGGCTGGGTGTGGATCTCTTTGACTTATCCAACTGTAATTTTGTGAGGTTCCTGGATGTACAAATTAAAGTTTTTCATCATATTAGGGAAGGTTTTACACATTATTTTTTCCCAATTCTTTCTGACCCTCTCTCTCCTGCTTCTCATTCTGGAACTATTATTATGCATAGGTTGGTATGCTCAGTTGAGTCCTATAGGTCTCTGGGTCTCTGTTCATTTCTCATTCATTATTTTTTCCTCATGTTCCTTAGATTGGATAATCTCAATTAACCTCACTTCATGTTTCCTGATTTGGCTGCCAGTTCAAATCTACTGTGAAGCCCCTCTAGTAAAATTTTTACTTTGGTTACTGTATTTTTCAACTCCAGAATTTCTATCTTGCTTTTTATATGCATAATTTACATTTCTATAATAATATTCTCTATTTGTTGAGACATCATTCTCATACTTCAGTTCTTTAGACATGGTTTTCTATAGTTTTTGACCATTTTTTAAATGGCTGATTTAAAGTCTTTGTCTAGTAAGTCCAAGGTTTGAGCATCCTCAGAGACAATTTCTGTTCTTTTTCTGTGTTTGGACCATATATGGCTGATTTTTTGTGTGTTTCATAATTATTGTAGAAAACTGGACATATTAAATAAAGTAATGTGGCAATCCTGAAAGACAGATCTCCTCTAGGATTTGTCGCTACTGCTCTTTGTTCTTCTTGGTGTCAGTGTTTGTTTGTTTAGTGACTTTTAAGGTCTACTTCTGTAGAGTTTGTATTCTTTGTCATATGCAGCCACTTAGCTTAATGTTCATCTAAAGACTAGACAGACATGTTTTAAAATATCTTGAATCAGTAATTCTTCCAGCTTTGTTGAAGAGGGGTGTGTGTGTGTGTGTTGACATACGTTTTCCACACCTTGACAGAACTTGATAGTTCTGCTTTAGCCTTCACTTTCTGCCAGCTCCCACAAGGTCAGCAGGAAGTGAAAGATTATAGCTTTTCCAGGTCTTTACTGAACATGGCATAACTCTGCACAGGCTCATGATTTCCTAGATTCCTAGGAATCTATGTCAGGGATTTTTAAAGATTCTAGAGACATCTCATTACACAATTAAAAAAAAATAGAAAAAAAATCATGCTGGCTGCTAGTAATCCTGCCTCAAGTAGCTGTGATGTTAAATGTTTGCCACCAATTGTTTT